TCTTTTGAAAAAAAATCTCTCAAAACTGACAATTTTCTTTTCTTAAAAATTCTACTTTAAAGTAATAACCTCTCTTAATAAGGCTAAGGAATTATACAAAAATATAAACAATTTTATAATTATTTTTTTCATTTTTTTTTTACTAAAAGCAAGACAAATCTTCTCTAAATTAATTATAGCAATGGATTTATGTTCTTATGGACATAATTGGGAGCAATAATAAAAAAAGTATGTTAAACATATAATTATTCGTGATTAAAAGATTAAAACAAAAAAAAATAGATTAAGAAAGAAAATAATTCGAGGAAATTTCATTTTCTCTCACTATTTTAATTCTGTTTTCTTTTTTTCCCTAATATACAACGTTGGAATATGCTTTTAATAGCTAAACATGATTTAGTATTGTTAAAAAAACTTAAGTATTCGTATTATTGCAGGCATAAATGCTTCATTTTACTTTTGCAAATAGAAGAAATTTAGAATCGGTCATTCCTTTTCAAAAATACTATATCCAAGCAACTTCAAAAAAAAAGAAATTAAAATGCTTATACATTTTTAATTTTTATGTGTTTTAAAAAATTCTTAAGAAAGGATTTTTAAAATATATTATCGCATAAAGCAGAATATCTTAAAAAGTTTTTGAAAAACTAACTCGTAAAAACTATAATTTAATTTGTTTTATTCCCTACAAGAATAATTTTTGAATAATCAATTTAATTAATTATTTTTATTTTCAATTATACAAATTAGACATACTAAAACATTAACCACTAAATCCAACTATTTCTTAAATCATATTAATTAGCATAATTTGAAAGTAAAAATTTAAAATATTCAACTCTACAAGACATTAATTAAATTCAAGATACTTTATTTTTGAGAAAAACATGGCTTTTATAATACGATGCACTTTTTGTATTTAGGGTAAAAGTAAAGTTTACATACTTTAAATTTTTTTCTAATTCCAAAAGTGGTAAAGATTTTCTATGAAAATCTTCTTAAAAACACTTCAATCTCGGAGAAAATGCATTTTCGTGAAATTTTATTTTATTTCTCTGTATTCTTTGTTCAGAAAGTAATATTTAACGAAAACTATAATAAAATCTTTTGTTAAATATGTCATAGTTAATTCCCTAATAGTAAGGCATTTGTTTTTCGTTAACTAATTCTTTTATTTTTTGAAAAAATATTATTTAATTTGAGGTAATTCTACTTTGTAATTATAATTGAATACTTTTTTGTAAAAAATACACTTGGATTTAAAAGTTTTAAAATACCTTATTATAAAATTTTTAGAAAAATATCATCTTTCCGAAATCAGTTTTTTTTAGAATAGTACAGAAAAGTTTTAAATTTTAAAACGAACCAGAATAATTTTATTAAACATTTTTCATTATGCATTTTCTGATATTGTTTTTATACTGAAAGAGATTATTTTTTCACCGAGACACTAAATGTTATCACAATTTTTAACAAATGTTATTTATTATCATAATTTGAAATTTGACCAGGAAAAAGTTCATTTCCAATTTTTTTCCAAAGTTTTTAACATAATAAATATAATAATAGTCAAATACAAATTTTAATAACAATGGTTGTATTACTGAATATTGAAAATGTATCAGTGTTATTTTAATTTTAGCCCTCTATTCACAATAATAAAGCAACATTTTTCTAATATGAACAAAAGATATCCTTTATAAAATATGCTTGCTGCCAACGTTGTTCTTATATTTTGAAAAGTTTTTGCACAGATATCTTTCTTTAGACTCAGAAATAAATAAAAAATAATTTGTTCAAATATCCAGGTAGGATTTAATAATATTTATTCATGAATTTAGTGATTGTGATACTAATTCATATTTGTTTGAAAAAGGGAAAGTGCAAATGGTTCATTTATGTAATCAGGGTAGCCATCTTTCTGATTCTTCTTTTAATGATTTTTTGCCTGAAAGAAATTCGGTCTAAAACTTTTGGACCCAATTGCTTTTTCTTCCTGCTTGAAGTAAAAAGAAATTTGTTTTTATTGGTGAGAAAGATTGCAAAGCAACAACGAAAACTGTGTGCCAACACGAAATATACAAAATGTCAAAATTCGATCACAAAAATAATGTCTTTCCCAGAATTGACTTCATATTTTGTATTCTGTTCACCAAAACCTTACAAATACTGTTCATGCCCCTAGTAAAATTTTTTCGATTTCTATCAAGGAAAAACTAGACAAGTTAATAGAAAAGAAAATAGAATTGATCTTCAGAGCAGATTTTCTCTATTTTTTTTTAAAAAAAGTAGTTTTTAACTCAAAACTGAAAAAACAAAAGATTTTTAAAATAAACTTCTTTTTAAATCACATATTTATACTCCAATGAAATTTAACTACTCCAATATATGTATACATTATATATAAACACAAAGCAACCAATGGTTGTTTCAAAATGAATAAAAAACCAAGGTGTATTAGCAAAATTTCTTTGATTTTGAGATTGAATTATCTAAAAACATGACTTAATATGATACCAGATTAAATTGGACAATAGCTTAAAACGCTCCAATAGCTTAAAAAAGTCCTCCACGAAGACAAATGTCTCCCAATACCTGACACAGGATATCTCTTGTTTTCTGGATTAGGATCGAAATTACAAGGATACGCAGTCGAAGCTGAAACTTTGATTGATTGCTCAACGACAGTTATAAAATAAAACAAAATAAATCCCTAAAAGCATATTCAACCCGAGTGGTAAGTGAAATTTAGGGTACTTGTCAACATTCCATTGCTGAAAAATAATACTCGATAATCTGTAATTTGTCACCTACACTGTTGAAAATTTAGAAACATGTTGGACACTCTTATGGCTCAAATTTGCTTCAACCTGAATATTTAGATTTATTTTAGACTCAAATATCGACAGACCTTGTGTTTCAAATGTCATTCGTAAAACTATCCCCTCAAAAACCATTGTTTAATTGTTACAAAGCGTAAAAGGCGAACTTTGTCGATATCAAATTATTTATTTGCAATAGGTAATGCATCACTTTATTTATTCTACCATAAAATTGCGTAAACAAGCCTTTTATTTCTATCTAATATCAATCAAATATTCATATACGTTAAAAGTGACGTATATTCACTTTAAATTGAATAAAAACTATATATATATTAGAGAAATAATTCCCTTAAAAAATTTGCTTACGCATTTCTCGTGTTATTCTTTGATTATTTCCATCGAATTAAATAGAAAGTTTTAGGAATGAATACCTTAATAAGAGAGCGATAAATAAATTAAAAATAAGTTTAATTGGTGCAGCAACAGGAAATTGATGAAATGCAAAGAAAATATGATTTATTCATTTGATGAAGAGGATTAAATATTTAAAAGATAAATGTATTCTATTCAAAGACCTGTACCTTTTGAAACAACAATTTGTATTAAATATTTACAGTATATAAATTCAGTATTTCATTTCCATTCCAAAGGCATATAATTTGTGTAAATTGTTGTTGTTGTTACTTATGCGACTTGCCACTATCATCAAGCCTACTTGAAATTGATCGAGTTCTTTGGTCAGAGGGGGCGTTTCTCGCTTTTTTTCAGTGGCGCCATCAATAACCAAAAATACGACTTAAACCACACACGCACACGTTACAGCTCGTTGTAGAAGGAGGATCTAATCATACTTCATTCTTTCTTCCACAGATCGTAATTTTGACCTGAACAAGAGTCCGATCAATCTTCAATTCAATACCCCCAGAGGTTTACTTTGGTATGGAAACATGGAGGAATTTGTGATCCTACTGATTTAACGTGCGCAAATCACCATTTAAGACACGGGTTCTTCAGTTGGTGGGATTCGAACTCCCGTTCTCACGAACACGTCCGACTAACCAAGCCCCTTCTACATAAATTATATTAGTTGAATTTCCACATTTCAGGCAGGAATTTTGACATTTCATGTAACTAAATGTCATTTTATATTTTTTTTCAATAAAACCTGAAAGTATTTTAGTGCAAAGCGATAGTTACCATTTTTGATGTTGATCACAATTAACTTTGCTTTACATATTCAAAGGAACAGATCTATTCCTATATCTATACATATTAAATCAACGAATTTCGCTAAATATTTTATATATCAATTCTAATTCAAATGATCTTTTACTATGCTTATTTTAAATTTCTCATTAAATGTGTCCTCTACTTTCAAAATCAACATTATTCTAAATTGTATTATCAAATTTTCAACTTTTTGAATGACTTTTTACACGTTAATTACGCTCAACTATTAAACTTCAATATATCTGGCAACTTAATTTAATCAAATGTTTAAATATAATTGCTGAGTTTGATAAAATTCAAAAATGATTCTTTACGTTTTATTAAAACTAGTAAAACATTTAAAGCGTATTTAAAGCAATAGTTCCATGTTTAACTTTGAGTCACCATAAAAATATTTTAGCCCACACACTTCAATTTACGCATTTAAGATACCTCAACTTTTATTGTTAACATTTTAGCAAAATCACAGAAGATTCACTTAATGACAAGTTTTGAAAATACATTGTGTATTATTTTATTAAATTATTATTGTGTATTATTATTATTATATGTATTATTATGTGTATTATTATTGTATATTATTATTGTGTATTATTATTGTGGATTATTTTATTAAAAATATAATAAAATTTTGCACCCTAACCTAAAGGTTATTACGGAATTAAAAATATACATCACTTGCAAGAGAAAATATTTTTGTTTCCATAAATTAAAACAAATTTAAATATTAATCTATAAAGAAATCATTATCATCAAAACAATCCAAGAATTAATATTGAAACAAAGATAAATGTTAGAGCCAAAAGTGTCTTAATATATCGATTTATTTTAATCACTTTTTCAGGTTAAAAAAGAATTTAATAACTCTTTAGCTGTCTTCTGTGACCATCTATGATATGTCAGGCAAGGTCAGAATACATTAAGTTATTTTGTTCACTTTTTCAGGTTATCAAGGAATTTAATAACGCATTAGCTGTCTTCCGTGATCATCTGGTCCACATTGCCAAACAGCAGGATGGTCCCGAAATCAGGGACCGAATCCGGGAAACACGTAGAAAGTGCCTCGAACTTTGCGTTTCTGCAAATGACATTATCATGCCACAAATCAAAAGGTAAAGAAAAGGTTTTCTACTCCCTGTTACTTTTCCTTTATAGTCTAACAAATTCAAAACAGTCATTAATTTCTTTAAATACTTGATCAAGATTTTCCACACGATTTGCGAAAAAGAAAAGGGAAAAATTCTAGATACGCTGTAGTTTACTTAATCGAGGAAATAAATCAGCTTCTACATTAAAAAAAAATAAGAATCAAATTACGATATAAAGTACCGGTTCTTTGGGTACATCATACGTAAAATATATTTTCCGGAAAATCCATTTTTACCGTATTTTATGGCAATTATTGTTGTGAAAATTACGGTAAATCAGATTTTTTGTTCCTTAACATGTTCCGGTAGGAATATATTGTATGGTAATAAGTAGCGGCACCCTGTGTGCCGGTACTTTATACCGTAACTTGATTCAACAGTTTTTACAGTGTATATATGAAATATTTTTATTAATTCTAACATAATTCTGCAGCAATTTTCTCTTCGTTACTATTTTGCTTTAGTAGTTAAGTAAAAGTATGTAAGTCATGCTTTTGTTTTCTTAAGCATTAAAAATAATTCATTAGTTTTATATCCATGCACTTTAGTATATAACATTCTCCTTTCCTTTATGTTTGATTTAATTTACTTAATTTAGTTTTGTATACAATATTTTAAACAGGTAAATTCTGTAATATTAAATGAATACACAAAAATAACATCAGCAAAATAAGATGAAAAAAGTTCTATTTGTCGCTTTTCCGCATGAAAAATCCATTTGAAGAAGCAAAAAAATCCAATAGAAAAATCACATGCACTTAAAAAATCAAAGAAAACTACTTGAAGGATATAATAAATCTTATTAAAAACTGAAGTTCTTATGCTATTAAATTTTTACAAAAGTATTTAACTTAACAGGAAATATCTTTCTTTTAAAAATATATGATAATATTAACAAGTTAATCTTAAATATATCCATTATTTATTCTTATTTGACTTATTATATTAAGGCATCTACTATGTTAAAAGAAATTGCTTTTCTCACGGAGAGCAACGTTCTGGTGAAATTATCGTAATATATGGTAATTATTCTACTACATATGTTTGTTGAGAATAATTCTGTTCTGAAATTAGGGACCGAAAACATGAAATGTAGACATTTGTGACATTTATTGAATAAAGTTTGTTAAGAAAAGTCGTGTATTTAATTTGTGTCGTGTATTTAATCAAGATTAACTAAAATTCTGTTCGGGAAACATAAAATGCAGATTTTAATTTAAATGTTATTTTTGTAATATATATATATATATATATCTAAATTTATTTACAGAGCNNTATATATATATATAAACGGAAAAAAAAAAGTAAACGGAAAATAAATTTTAGGGATTTTTAGTGCACTAACTTTCATTATAAATATGAAATAAAGTTTGTAAATGTATATAAGGTGAGCCGATTCCTCGTCTATTCACTGAATACAGTTAAATATTATTTTAATGGTAAGAATTTCTGGAATCATGTATTTCTTATTTTAACAAAGTGAACCACCGGCTAAGGCAACAAATAATAATTATTTTTTATTCAAAAATGAATTTTTTCAACTTTATTAATTGAGGTGGTATATGTTTTACTGTTTCGTGCATGGTTTCATTGTGTTGATCAACATAGATTTATTGATTATTTATTTTTCTCACTCCGTTCAAGGAACGGGCACTCAAGCTAGAAGAGAAATAAATATAGCTCTTCATTCATTTTTTGTCCATTTTTGGCAGTGATGTTGCTGATGGAATACCTGTAGATAGTCAACAATTGGTCAACTTGGTTTGTTGCACTCAACTCTTTGTTAGAGAGCTGCACAAGTGCCAGAATCTCGTCCAAGCCAATCCCATGGATATGACAGCATTTTACGGTATCTATACATGTATTTCATTTTTATCGCAAAGGATTTCACTTCAATAAATATATCGTACTGCTTGCTCAATTTTGAAACGAGCAGTTTTCATCTGCTAAAAGGTATGTCCTGAAAAGTTGCACTAGCTGACATGTGAAATGCGATGCAAATAGTTATTCAGTTTTTGAAGCTGTTTTTCATTAATAATGCGTGAATATACTTGAATAAAAAGAAAAATACTTTTGAAAATAAAATTATAAGCATTTAAAATTAAGTATATGAAAAGACTAAAAAAAACATAGTGCTAAATCTAGTCACATCTCAAAAACACCATACTTATTTTATCTGGGTACATTTAGAACACTAGACGTTTATATGGTTACGGTAAAGAATTTTTATATATATATATATGTATATATATTAGTTGTTTCTTTCTAATGTAATGTCTTTTGTTCACAATCGTGGCACATTTGTTTCTTCCATGTGAAAAGCTGTGGCGTAATATCCTACCGAATGTGGCATTGAGCAAAGTCAAAAATTGTGCAATCCATTTGAAGTCAACATCAAATCGGTGGTTCGTGTACATTTTAAAAGTTTCAATTAAATTTATACGACAATAATTGAGAATGCTTACACAAAAATAACGCGCATTCACACCATTCCTGAATTATTCTTGCCTTGGAAAACACTGATTTCGGGATACTTTAGATATCGTCAGAAGATAGTTTGCAATTGAATACACATGTCGTGAGTTTGTAGACGTTTTGTACGCTGCTCTATATCTCCCGAAATAAAAGTTTGCCATTGTAGTATAAATGTACAGTTTTAATTGTGCTACGAGGATAAATATATTTCATTATTTAAATATCTATCAATCATATTAATTAAATAATTCGATAATATTTAATTTCAATCCGCATTTGTTCTGTTAAGCCTAATTCGAATTTATCATACTGTTTTCTCAATCGTCATGCATTCTCTCCACTACACAACTTTAGTGTAATTTAGTTGCCAGCATTTTTGCTGTTAAAATACAGTAATTTTTCTTTACAGTGTAGTCATTTCGAATGTCATGGATTCATTTAAAACGTATTCGCTCCCTTTTTATACAGTATTCAAACTTCTCTGTAAAGTCCTAATACCCAACTGTTTTTTAATGCTATCTTTTATTAGCTTTACTTCTACTACTCCTTAGTCTACTTCTTGATATGTGGTGGGGGATAACCAGATGAAAGCAAAATTTTTCAAACATTTATGACATCAATAGCCAGGGTAAAAGAATGACGATTGATTCCTATTAGTTTTTTGGGTTATCTAGTTATAGGCTAAAAGTTAATTTCCCTCACTTGTAAAGACGAGTGGAGTATGTCAATCCCATTTTCTATAACAGTAATGAGCCGTGATGGCTCAGGGGATAGAGCATTTGCTTTCCAATGAGGTGAACCGGGTTTGAATCCCAGCGATGGCTGGTCGATATGAATTCCGAACCCGTCTCGCACCGACCACAGCGCTGACGTTAAAATATCCTCAGTGGTAGACGAATCATGGGTAAGAGTCCCCTTGCCGCCAAGCTAACCGTAGGATGTTTTCGTAGTCCCCCCCCCCCATATAAAGCAAATGTGGGTTAGTTTTTAAAAAAAAGGCCTCCATGACGTAAAATTTCTCCAAATACTTGATCCATGAGTTCCCTTGTCTTCAATATTGGGTTCCGAATTACAAGTCTACGCAGTTGAACATTAATTGTCGTAAAGCTAAAAAATTGGGTCCGCTGTTCAATGACAGTTATGAAATAAAATATTAAATAGTATATATTGGTAAATCATTTACTAAATCACATATTCAAGTGAAAACTTGTTAAGACGTTCATGATTAAGTAGAAGGTCAAATACAAAATGCAATAGCATTAGTAGTAGTTCCTTATTTGCATCACACTGGAATTGAACAAAGGGTTATTGGTGTCTGCTTGGGAAACCTTTCTAAGGATGATCTGAAGACATGCCTTTCAAAATTTTGATCCTTCTGAGAGTAGATGCTCCCCCCCCCCTATCTGGTAGTCTCAACAACCTGGTCGTGAAGTTGAGCTTTTTACCTTGAGTAGTTCAACAAGGATCGATACCTCTCCTCCTCTGTTCATACGCAGGCTTATTAAAATGTTCTAACATACTGACCACAGCCAGTGATTGGATCTGATCTATGAGGAACTGTGTGTTATGGTCAGTTCAACTGCAGGATATAAAATGCAGTGGAGAATTTTTGTTTCACAAATTAAAATATGTTCCATTTTTTGTAGGGCTGAGGTGTGATACGCCCCTCGCGTATTCTCGCGGGTTAAGAAGCACTTCCTCACATTCTCCCTAATAGTGGAAGATATTTCACACCAGAAGCGATTTTTTGATTTCATCACATCTTTCAAATATTTAATCAAAATAAGAAGTGAAAGTTTTCATTCATAATGAAGTTGCGCCAGAAAAAAAAGTTTAAAACAGTATTTAAATAAAATTTTATCAAAGCTAGCAAGATTAAGTGTGAATAGCTTTTTTTCAAATCAGTTTCGGGTGTGTGCTCATTCTTTTTTTCTTAATTACTATTTAACTTGTCTATATTAATCTTACGTATATAATTCATTCATTTAAAAAAATGATAAAGGCATTTCTGCTATTTCAGAGAAAATATACATTGCAATAAAAATATTATTATTATTATTGCAATATATGTATTTTTTATGATATAGCAAAACTGTTTTTTTTTTTCAAATTAAAATTTATTTTTTTACAATTCATTTTGGACGTAAAGATTTAAGCTTTGCCAGACATGAAATCTTCAAGTTTCGCACCTATTGTTGAACTTTCGAAATATGTACCTTCTATTTATGCACCAACTACCAATTTTATATTTTTTGAAGCAAGTGAGGTTTTATATTATCAAATTATAAAAGGTTATCATCATTGCTAGTATGTTATATGTAATCAATATGTTTATTATATATGATGTTCTTTTTCGTTTCAGAAAAAAAGCCTCGATCATCTGGAGTATCAGTTTTAGACAGATTAGTTTTATTCAAAATACAACCGAGGGATTACCATAAAGAAGAATTACAAAGTATAACCAGGTATGAATATATCATTTATTTTATCAGAATCGATTGCAAAATGTGTTACACTGCATAATAACCGAACATTAACAATGCACAAAGTAAAAAGAAGAAAAAAAAAACAGAGCATTGTTAGAACTTTTGATAATTGGATTATCACGTACACCAGGTAAAATATATAGCAGCGAACTGTTAGAATTTCGATTCTGAAATTACGGTAAAATTACCGGCAGCAGTCTGTTCATCCGATTAACGATAAAGTTTATGGTTAGGAAAATTTTTGTATCTCTTTACGATTTTTAAACCGCTTACAATTGGTACAGTTAAAAATTCATTAATACAAAACTACGACTCTATTTCGTAACCATTTACAACTAGCATAGTTTCTGTTGTTGTTTTCGTATGCCTGTTTTAGACAGAGGGGTGTGATTGTTCCTGTTTTCTAGTGGCGCCATCTATGGCCAAGAATTCGACTTCTGCCACACCCATAAGTCACATTCGCTTATAGGGCGGACCCATTCCTACATCCTTTCATTCATCCGCAGATATTAATTTTGACCTGAATCGGAGAACGATCGATTTCCAATCTAGTACCCCCAGAGGTATTGCATTTTAATGGGAGCATGGAGGAATTCACGACTCGACAGATTTAACGTGCATCAGTCACCATTTACTACACGGGGAGTCTTCGGCCTGCGGGGTTCGAACTCACGAACTCTCAGACATGGCTCAGCACCCTACGAACCAGGCTATCCCGGCCCTGCATAGTTTCTAAACCATAAAAATAAAACCTTAAGGAGGCCTATTCTTTTGGGGTGCTGCTTTATTTATACGTGAATGATAGCTTCGTATTCTGATAGCTAAGGGTCACCGATTGAAAAGTGTCGGAAACTAGAAATTTTTAATGTATTGAAGGAATGAAATAGCAGGAATTTGACAGTGGGATTCGAACCCCCGTCAGCAGTTTCCCGTTAGCTCTCTCAGCTACAGTATGTATCCAGCAGCACGGAGCAAAATGGCTTCATAAGTTAGGCCTAGTTGGCGTGAATTGAATTCTGATTATTAAACCGTATTAGGCAAAAACAGTCAATTAAGGTTTTTCCTCACACTTGTACCATTACCCCTCTAGCTGTGATCTCTAAATTTAACTTTAGTAACGGTTACCCAGGTTATACAGTAGGCAAGTATTGAATGAATTACAGGAAACTCTTAACATTTAAAACTCATTTTTATTGCAACTCTAAATCTTCAAAAAACATAATTCTACACATTTCCAAATGCTAGCATGGGAATAAACACTTTCCTTTATACATTAATGAAAACAATATGCAACCTTAAAACACTTAAGCATAACCTTCAATTCATACAGTTTAAAAAAGACATTTAAGAAATAAAAACTGCATTTAACATTACTAAAAGCACTTAAGACTTGGTTTATGATGTCTATAAATCACACTTAAATACTCATTGTTCTCCTATACAAAAAAAAACACAACATAAACAGTTCAGAATTTACGGTAAATGATTCCTCTAAAATGTTAACGAAATAAAATTTAAAGTTTTATAAGTACCCAAAAGAATTTACTGTTCGCCCTCTGGAAACGTCCACCGGAATGGTAGATGAGCTCGTGGGCAAACTCCTCGGCTAGGATCTCAAAATTTCTCCAGCTATTCTAACTTCATTAGGCTTAGGCATGTAGAAGGGGAACACCGGACTTCCAGCATAGATACGTTCGGACTTGGCCCACCGTCTCGAAGATATCGGCCTTCGGCTAATCTCGGTCGTTCTTGCCGCTAGAGACTTTAATTTAGCTTTCCTTAAGTTCACGATCCACCATCTTCGAGGTGCTGTCACGGACCACCCTTCCTGCGGACAAGCTCCGTATCCTCCGGGTTACTGCTTTTAGCCACACTCTTCACTTCTCTTTTATCCTCCTTTCAGCAAGGTGAAAGAATCTAGATTGACCTGTTTACCAAATCCAGAGTCATCCCGCATCCGGCGGACGTCAGAACCAAAAAAAAAAAGATCCCTGAGAAAAAACAGTCATAAATCCACTAATACCCTATAGAAGTTATAATACCATCCTCAATAAATATTAATAAATTTAGTTACCCAGATTTCACCCCAAAAATCCCATTTTAAAAGACTAATTCAAAATTTCTAAAAAAAATATCATTATTATGATTGAATTTAAACTTTACCATAGTGGTGCCATCTACAGAAAAATAATCTATCTTTAAAAGTATTGTAAAAAAACTATAACAAATTTCTATTTATTACACACTTAACAGTTCGAATATCATCTTTTTTTATGGTTATTTGGCTGTTTCGATTGAATATGGTACAATAACAATTAAATAAATTGCTATTTAACCACTTTTACCGGAAAATTTTTACTTTTTTTTAGTTTTGTGGTGTTAAATTTAAAAGTTTTAATTATTATAAGAAAATAAATTAAAGTATTTTACTTATTATAAGTTGGTGATTAACTAGTTTCGTTCCCAACTTACTAAAAATTTTTTGAAAAATCTATATTTTTCTGCAAATAGCAGAAAGATATAATTTTCAGTCACGCTGATAGCCCAACAGCAGATGACACAAGAATCACCAAGGTTCAGGAGATGACCAGTTTAATTCTGATATGAATGAATTCTCTTTTATATTTTTATTTTATTTTTATGAAAATATTTTGAAATTCTTTCTGTTTGTAATTTTTTTTAATTTTTCAATTGATTTTAAATCTGCATATTTTTATAGATTAGTTTTTAAATATTATTTTTCAAAACCTACAGTTTTGCAAATAAAAGTGAAAAAAAAGTTTTGAGATAAAATATTATCCTTTTTTCCATATCACGTAAGTTTTCATGAAATGTCCCAGTGCACAGTTTTAATATTTATTATATTCCCTCTAAATTTAGATCAAATGAAAGAAAATAAACTGAGTTTATTTTTAATTTTAACAATTTCAGCCAAGTCTAATCTAGCACCTGAAGATTGGATCCTAAAAATGGAGGGCTAATTACAATTTAGCGCAATTGTCTGAAAACTATTTTATAACTTATTACCAACACGTTTGATATTGCTGTTTTTTGATGCAATTAATAATATATTATAATTAATCAATTAATCATCGTCCTGTAATTAAATCTAGCATGTGTAACTAGTTTTGGAAAATATGAAGCCTAATCTTTCATACGGAACAAATTTCAAATAAAACCTCTTGGCACTAAAAAACTACTTGGCACTATTTAAAAAAAAATCAGTAATTGTCTACCAGATCACACCAAATGTATAGACTATAGTTTTAAATTTTGTAATCTTGGTGAAAACTAACAAAAAGCAAGTCCAGTTCATAACCACGAAAATTATGTGCTACATAGTTCTTACAATATCTTTCAAAACGTAACTGTAAATTTGACGATTTAAGCTATTAATGTTTTAACATGGTTTAAAATTTTTTTTAACTACACTAATTTATAGACTTAACATATGTGCACAGAAAGAAATCCTGGTAATGTTTCCGCCCAGCATGTCAATGACAATACTGATAGAATAATTTCATTATTTTGGTTCAGAAAACCTAAATACACGGTACTGAACCTCTCATTGAGTAATTTTTCCTTGCATATAGAAACAGTTTTCTGAAAAATCCTGGTTTTCAAAATTATAGTTTTTATTACCACACAATCACAATTAGTAAAATATACAAAACTGAAAAGTAGATTTAACTGAATAAATGCTTTTCATGCCATGCTCAAAGGTACCATGATAAAATGACTAAATTTTACCACAACTACCAAATTTTATCACTTATTATAAAACTATGTTTTATAGTTGATTTTACCAAAATCATTACCAAAGTGCTTCGGTAAAAAATATTGAGCTCTTTGGTGTATTAGTAGGACTGGAAAAGCAGAAAATTTTACCATATTCTGGTAGTTTACGACAGCATGAAATCTTTTTTTGATATAGAGGAAATTTACACCAAATTCCAATTCCGCACAGAAACAAAAGNATATATATATATATTATATACAAGATATCAGCCAGTTTACATAGATAAACAAACTTTTAAAAACTTAATATTTCTGTTGAAAATTGGTTAAACCAAATGCAACTACTCTATTTTCTCAGCTGTCGATGAATGACATGGTTTGATATATTCATAGATTCGACGTAATATTAATTTATTTTGACAGAGAAGGGTTTGAGTTAGACTTTTAGTTCATTTCGGAATTAGAAAAACCACTTCCTTTAAGGGGAAAAAAAATTGATTAGGAAATTCCTTTCAATTTGTCACCCTTACTAATCCTTTTCAGTTATCCGAATTAGATTAGAAAACTTCCTTCTCTGGAACTAGACAAATGGAAAGGAAAAACTAAGCAAATTAAATTATGCGGCATTTGACCATAAATACACGCATTCACTGAATGCTCGACCGGAACATCACGTTTGCTGAGATGTTTCATTTTCGGTAATGAAGCATTTTTTTTGTGGGGGGGGGGACTGAAAGAGACTTAAGAACAGATTTAGGAGTATCAAAATAAATAACTTATTTCCATTCCTGGCCCAAAAATCTGTAACACTCATAACAGTTCCAAGAATTTTTAAAATAGATAACTTATCTCAATTCAGTGTCGAAAAATTTATAATACTGAGGAATTATTAAGGAAATATCGAAACAAATAACTTATTTTAACTAAATGTCAAAATCAATATAATGCATAAGAACCATTCCACGTTCATCAAGGTAAATAACTTAGTTCAATTCAGCGTTTAGAAATCTATAGTACTTAGGAACCATTTCAGAAGTATTAAAATAAAAAAGTTGTTAGAATTCAGCATCAAAAAAATAAATAAATAAAGTCAGTAATACTTGAAAGTTAGAGCCCTCGCCACCCTATGAAGCAAACAGGGGTCGAATCCTCGTGATGGTTGATCCACAAGAATTCAGTCTCTGGCTCACGCCGACTACAGTGCTAACGTTAAAGATCATTAGTGGTAAACGAATCATGAG